AAATCCTGGCTCTGCCTCTTGCTAGCTGTGTGACCTTGGGCAAATGATTTAGCCTTGCTGAACTTTGGGTGATAATATAAATCTTAGAGGCTGGTGTGAGGCTTGATTGAGACAGTGAATCTGCTAGGTCATACTAAGTGTTCAGTATCAGCTTGCTCTCATGGTTGCTACAGTTCTAAACATCTTCCTGGATGGTGGAGGTGTCCTCACTGTGGTTCCAGTGAAGAAGGAAAAAAGAGTTGTTTTTGTTTCTTCAAATCAATGTTACATACTATAAAATGCATGCATTTTAAGTGTGCAGTTTGAGTTTTACTAAATATATACACTTGTGGACCCTTGCCACAATTACAATATGGAACATTTCAATCACCCCAAAAGAATCTCTTATGCTCCTTTGTAGTCACCCTCCTCCACCAGCCCCAGGCTACCAATTCTCTGTTTTCTGTTATTATTGATTAGTTTTGCCTGTTCCAGAAGTTCATATACATGGAATCATATAGTATAAAATCATTTGTGTCTGGATTCTTTTGTTCAACATAATGTGTTTGAGATTCATTCATGTTCTTTGATCTATCAATAGTTCATTTCTTTTTATTGCTGAGTAGTATTCCATTGTATGGACATACCACAGTTTTTTTTGTCCATTCCCCAGTTGATAGGCATTTGGATTGTTTTCAATTTGGGTCTATTCTAAATAAAGCTGCTGTAAACATTCATATACTTGTCTTTTTGTGGATATATGTTTTTGTTTCTCTTGGATAAATACTTGGAAGTGGAATTGCTGGATTGTTTGGTAGGTATACGTTTAACTTCATAAGAAACTGTCAAACAGTTTTCCGAAGTGGTCATACTATTTTACAGAGTAACATGTGAGAGTTCCAGTTGCTCCCTGTTCATGCCAGTCATTGACAGTATTTTTAATTTTGACTAGTCTAATGGATATATAGGAGCTCTGGTACCATAATGCTTAAAGTATTTGACTGGTAACCAGAAGGCTGGTGGTTCAAACCCATCAGCCACTCCTTGGAAGGCTGATTGGGCTATTTCCATAGTGATACCACCTCGGAAACCCAAGGAGGGGTCGCTATGAATCGGATCCAACTTGACGGCAGTGAGTTTCTGTTTTAGTGGAGTATGTTGGTGTCTCATTGTGGTTTTAATTTGCATTTCCCCATTGATTAATCATCTTGAACATCTTTTTTTCATGCTCATATGACTATTTGTGTATCTTTTTCTTGGGGTTATTTGTCTTCTTGGTATCGAGTTGTAAGAGTTCTTTACGTATTTGGGGTATAAGTTGTTTGTTAGAATGTATCACCAATATTTTATGGCTTGCCTTTTCATTTTCTTATTAGTGTCTTATGATGAGCTGAAAAATTTCATTTTAGTGAGGTCCCTTTTATTAACCTTTTCTTGTATGATTTCTGCTTTTTGTGTGTCCTATTCCAACAATCTCTGCCTACCCAGTTTACAAAGATTTCCTCCTGTGTTTTCTTCTAGAAGCTGTAGAGGTTTATGTTTTACGTTTAGGTCTGTGATTCATCTTGAGTTAAGTTGTGTGTATGGTGTGAGGTAAGTTTCAAAGATGACTTATTTTTTTTATGTTTTATAGGGATATCCACTTGTTCCAGCACTATTTGTTGAAAGGAGGATCCTTTCTTGATTGGCATCTTTGTTGCAAATTAATTAACCCTGTAGGTGTAGGTCTATTTCTGAACTCTCTGCTCTAGTCCTATCCTTACACCAACAAGGAGCCTTAGTGGTGCAGTGGTCAAGTGCTCAGCTGCTAAGTGAAAGATCAATGGTTTGGAACTACCTGTGGCTCCATGGGACAAAAGACCTAGCAATTTGCTCCTATAAAGAGTACAACCTAGGAAGCCGTATGGGGCAGTTCTGCTCTGTCCTATAAGGTCTATGAGTCTGAATTGACTTGATGGCACATGACAATGACATCCTTATACCAGTACCACATGGCTTTGATGACTGTAGCCTTATAGTAAGTCTTAAGCAGGTCTGGTGGCACAGTGCCTAAGGCATTTGACTGCTAACCAGAAGGTTGGCGGTTCTAACCTACCAGCCACTCCATGGAAAGAAGATGGGGCAATCTTCTTCCACAGAGATTTACCACTTTGGAAACCCATTGAGGGTTGCTATATCAGAGCCGACTCGATGGCAATGGGTTTGGTTTTTTTGGTTTAGAGTAAGTCTTGAAACCAAGTACTGTAAGTTCTCCTACGTTGTCCTTTTTCAGAAATTGTTTTGATTATTCTAGGTTCTTTGTACGTTTCATATAAATTTTAGTATCAGCTTGCCAATAGCTATGCATGAGACATCTGGGATTTTTACTGTGATTGCACTGACTCTGGAAATCAATGTGTGGAGATGGATGTTTTAGCAATACTGAGTGTTCTGATTCCTAAACAGGCCACATCTCTCTATTCAGCTCTTCTTTCATTTCTCCCAGCGGTGGTTCGTAGTTCTCAGTGTGCAGGTCTTGCAAGTATTTTTGTCAATTATTTTATGTATTTGTATGCTTGTTTGTTTGTCTTAAAAAAAAAACCAAAACAGCATTTTTACAAATGGAAATGAATCCTGAGAATAGGGTATGGGGAAAGAAAGGGTAAAAGAAATGTTATTGCTTTGGGGTGGTGGGTTGAAAGCCAAATGTCACTGATAAGAATCAGTGTGTTTTGGGAAGGAATTTAGGCCAGCTTGTCCCTGGCTGAGCTGTAACCCCTGAGGAGTTGGGCTCAGGGTCAACCCCCCCCTTAGTGCATAGTGGTGGAGTTTCTGTGGCTGAGTGGCTGAGGAGGGGAGAAGGGAGGAGAGGCAAGCAGAGCAGGGATTCCTGAGCTGAAATCTCCTAAGGAAGAGAGATCCTGGTGCTTTTGGGATTACGTGCTTAAGTAGAGGTTGCATTCAGGAGGAGATGTGCCAAGTAGTGTGAGGAGGACGCAGGGTGGCCCAAGTCCCTGCTGTAGTGTGAGGAGTACTAGACGTAGAATCAGAGAGACAAGCATTCAAATCTTAGATCCACCACTGTGGCCCAGGGCAAGTCACTTAGTTGCTCTGAACTCAGTTTTTCCATCTGTAAAATGGGATACTCCTTACCTCTTAGCGTTGTTGTGAGTATTAAATAAATGTATGTGAAAGTACTGATGTTCTGTCCATATATAAGAAGTCCAAGAAATCTAGTGGTCTGCCTTAGCACATCCCAGGTTCAGGAGTGTTTGTGGTGACATCTGTGCCTTCCTCTCTGCTTCTTGATCCACCTGTTGTATAATAATTTAAAAAACGGGGGGGAGGGGAGCCCTTCTTGTGCTCAGCACCCTATGTGTAGCATCTCCTTTAATCACTGTGACAACCCTTTGAGGCAGGTGTTGGTATAATCATTCTCCTTACAGATGAGAGGGAAAAAGCTCAGAGAAGCCAAGTGCTTTACCCAAAGTCACACAGCTAGTGGCTGGCAGTGCCAGAATTTGAATCCACGTCTGTCAGAATCCAGAGACAACCTCTTCATTCCTGCCTCATGCTGCCTGTTGAGCCCCTGCTTGAGGCCTGCCTCCTCCCCTGGATGGCTGTACCCACTCCAAGCCCACCATCTGGTCACCAAGTCCCCCATGTCCCTCACTTTGCATGTGTCTTTCGTACGTCTTGCACTGTGCGTCTTAAACTCTTGGCTTGTTGCTTATTTTTCATGTGCTTATCCCCAACTTGCTTGTAGCTCCTCTTAGGCAGAGGTCTTGGGGTTCTATTGTTGGCTGAGTCCCCTCACAGTCCTGGGGTTGCTCCCTGGCTCACCGTGAACCCCGGTGCCTGCTCCCTTTCTCTCACCCCTCCTCTCCCCCAGGACCTCCCTCTGCTCCATCACATAGGCTCTTCCCACTTCTCCTTACACTTGGTTCCCAAGGCCTGACCCTCTGTTAGGATGGGAAATGGAAGCAAAGCATAGAACAGGGATTTGTCTCATCAGAATCTGGAAGTTGGTCATGCCTGGAGTCAGCATCCTGGTGGCCTCATAGATGAGCTGGGGTCAGGGCTGCTGCCTCAGGTCCAGACCCACAGAGTTGAGCTGGGGTTAGGGCTGCTGCCTCAGGTCCAGACCCTTTCACCGGACAGATGAAGATGGAGGGAGGAGGCAGGGGGAGAGTCTCAAAGAGCCAGGAGCTATTTCCACTGCCATGTTCCAGTCGGTCCTGGAGACTCCAAAAAACTATTTTCAGGAAAAGAGGTCTGCTTTCCCCCAATAGTTATAATCTCTGAGACCAGGTGTGTTTCAGAATTCAGGATTTTCCAGATTTTAGAAAGGTAATGTAATGCACGAGGAGCCTGGGTGACAGAGACGATTAACACTTGGCTGCTGACTAACAGGTTGGTGGTTCAAACCCACCGAGCAGCTCTGCGGGAGAAAGACCTGGTGATCTCCTTCTGAAAAGATGGCAGCCTGGAAGGCCGTAAGGAGCAGTTCTGCTGTGTCTCCCAGGGTTGCCAGGAGTCAGGGTCTGCTCAATGGTACCTCACAGCAGCTCCACAGCAACAGAATGCACATACCATGGATAACACAACCCCTACTAGCAGGGTCTAATCAAACACTGCAGAAAAACATCTATATGTTGGGATAAATGAAGACCATGAATATTTTCACTTTCGTTCAGGTTTTGCTACCAAATGAGTTCAACACAACTGAACAAAAAGCTATTCGCTTTCCAAGCTTTCTGGAGTTGGGAATTGCAGATAAAGGTTTGTGAGCCTGTGGTATGTGTCACCACGAGAAGTTGTGTAAGCTGTTTTAAAGGAAAACTTGGTCAGCTTTTTGGCTTGTCCTTGCCCAGTGTCAAAGGGAGTTTTGAGGCTCAGAGGGAACCCTGTATTAGAGAGCCTCACTAGGACTGAGCCGGCCAGAGGACTCAGGGTGTAACTGATCATGGCCGGGTGGCCCTGGGGTCTGGCACTGGGGAGGGCACATACAGGCCTGGCTGAGAACCAGGGAGTGCCCGGCCATGAGCGTGCTCCACCGGAGTCAAGACCTGTCACAGCTGCTTCAGCCTGAGCTCAAGAAGATTTGGGCACTTCAGCTGGCTCCTGAAGCCTGGGGGTGAGATGGCAAGGAGGGGAGGAGAATGGGAAGTGGACGCTGAGGGTGCACCTGGATCTGCACTCCAGGACTATGGGGCCACCCGCCTGCGGTTGGGCATCTGAGGGATTTTTGTAGCCAGCAAGTATCTGAGGAGCATCTCCTTGGGGTGAGGGACATGGGCTGGGGAGCAAGGGACCCCTGGGCGTTTAAAACCATGGCTCTGCCCAAGAGCTTACAGGCTATTTAGAGAGACTGTCCGTATAGCCCTGAAGAAGGAGAAGAACAACAACAAAAACCTTGCAGAGCTGTGGCACTGTATCCACCAAGTGGGAGAAGACAAAGAAAGAGGATGGTTAGCAGGGGATGCGGCCAGCAGGCAAGTAGGGCTTCCTGGAGTGGGCAGATAAGCATCTAGCACCCAGCTAGAGCTAGATGGGACCTGAGTATCACCTTTCCCATCCCTTGTATTTTTGAGTCAGGTGTGAAAAAGGAAGTGGTTAGAAAAGCTTCCAGGTCTTTGGGTGGTGCAAATGGTTTGCATTCAACTATTAACCTAAGGGGTGGCAGGTTGAACCTACTTGGTGCCTTTGTGGACGAAATGCCTGGTAACCTGCTTCTGCAAAGATTACAGCCAAGAAAACCATATGGAGCAATAGGGCATCACCATGCGTCAGAATTGATTAGATGGCAAAGGGTGTTTTTGTTTCTGTTTTTAAATAAAAAGGCCCAGGGTATCTCTGAGAGCTTTGGATGGGAGATCAGAGGCAGGGGTTACAGTATGAAGAAAGACACAAGGTCTGGACTGAGTTAGACATGGCAGGAGGACATGGAGGAGACTGGCCTGGCTTGGTGGGGACCCTCTGGCTGCCTCTGAGTGCAGGACAGCCGACAGTGAGAAGTTCTGATCCCTCTCTGGAGAAACCTGATCTTCCTGAGGGACCCCTCTCCCCGAGACTCTGTCTGTCCTCTGGGATATCCTGACCTACTCAGCCCCTCCCCAGGCACATGCTTTGACCAGGTTGGGAGCGTCCTGGTGGATCCAGAAGGTAGCTTCTTGACTAGAGTGGGAGGTCCTGCTATCCAGGAGCTGAGGAAAGGGAGAGGATATGGAGCAGTGGGCCATCCCTGGGACCTGCAGGAGGACAAATGGAACCTGTACCACCTGGCATCTCTGCCTAGAGCGCCTGCAAAGAATGGAAGTGTCGTCATCGCAAAGTGACCACACAAGGCATCCCAGCCTGCCTGGCCATGGTGGGGAGCCTGACAAGCTAGTTAGTTGGCCAACTTGCCATGGTTAAATAACGTGGTCAGAGAAAACCTGTCTAGGAACCAGGGTCCCATGGTTGTGGCAGAGCTGGGGGCAGGGGTGGGGAAGTGTTTGCCATAGAGAGATAGAGCCTCGCAGCTCCTTACCGCCCCTGTAGCTCCCACCCACAAGACCCACAAGCTGGGTTAGGGCTGGGCTTTTGACCCCAAGAAGCCAGAGAAGCTTGTCTTTAGGGCTTCCAGCCTCCTTAGTCTCTGTCCCTCCCCACCTCTAGCCCCACCCTCTTTCTTTCTTTTCACTATGTTGTTGTTGTTGTTATGTGCCATCACTATATCACACTGATATTGTATCAGACTCTCACACTTTAGTATGAAGAAGATGGCCACTTCTGTAAGTCTAACCCTTGCCTTCTGGCTGAAAACAGACTGGGGAAAAGGAGCCTTTTAAACGGAGGATCCTTTTCTTTCTTCCTGAGGTCCTACCTCTTGGGCTTCCCGAGGAGTCAGAGGAGTGCTGACCAGGAGTCTTTCTCTTTAAAACTTACTCATTTTGTGTTCCCACCGCCTCAGACATATGCTGTGGTCATGGCTGACTTTGCTTTCCTGAAGTGTTATGTTGAAACGGAAAGCAGAAACCATGATGAAACGATCAGGAGGCCCAGGGTACAGTCCCAGCCCTGCCACTAACTCAGTGCATCACCTTGGACAATAAAATCTTACATGAACTCTCAGGGCACAAGGCAGGTCAAAGCAGAGACCTGCACATTTGGCAAACCCCTTGTCCTCTGTCTCCCTCTGCCCCAGCCTCTGAGATACCGCCAGGAACCACTAGGGCGAAACTTGTGGACTGGGTGATCCTCAAGGGTTCTTTAGTCCTAAAATATAATGATTCAAACTGTGTATATTCAGACCCAGCCAGGGAGCTGGAGGTGGCATTTTTAATCACAGAGTTGCAGAACCGAGGGGTCCTTCTCACAGGAGTGACTTTTGGGCCCCTCCATGGCCCCCTGACCCATGCATGTCAGCAACAAAGCCTTCTTCTCCCCCAGCTTCAGTAGGGCCTAAGCGGAGAGGGAGAGAGACAGTAGACAGGGAGGGAGAAGCATTTCCTTCACAGATGTTGAACCACCACCCTGTAAATGCCCAAGATTGTTGAGATGCGGAGAAAGCATTTGCTGGGCTCAGCAACCCATTGAGAATGTGTGAGCCTACGTCTCCAGACACCACCCTCAGTGGGCAGCCCAGGCTGCGAAACAGGAAGTAGAACTGTTCTTGGAGAGACAAAGGCCACAGCTGGGCCAGGCTCTTTTCTCTCTAAGCCGAGCTGGGGTGGGAGAGGAAGCTCTGGGTGGACTCCAAAGAGATGGTGACCAGACTTATTCCTGGCGGGGGGAGCTCATGGGATGCTGAGGTTAGGAGCTAAGGAGGAAAGAAAGGCTGGATGCAGAAGAGGGTGGGGGGAGCCCACAGGGAAGTAGTGAGTGGTCTTGTTTATTTCAGTCTTTTGTGGGTACACCTGGCTGTTGTTCAAAGTCCTTTTTAAAGTATAAATGAATGACTGAGTGTAAGGAGGGGCTGGAGGGAGTATGAGTAAAGCTGGGAAGCCATAACTGATGGATTTGCCAGGCTGGTCAGGAAAGTGTCTTCATGGAGGAGGTGGGAAGTGACCGTGAGTCCTGCAAAGGGAAAGGAGTGCAAGATGGAGGGGAGGATGTCTGTTCAGCAGGGACCCTCAGTGAACCCCAGGAAGGGACCGAAGTCTGGGATGGGTGTTCAGAGGACCCCCCTCTCTGAAGAAAGGTCACCCAGTGCCATGATGCCCTCTTCTCCTGGGCCAGGGGCTGTCCTGGCTGAACTCGCCCTTGCTGGGAGGAGTGGGAGAGAGCCTGGGGGTGGGAAATGTGTGTGTGTGTGTGTGTGTCTAGGGTGGTTCGATGGGGGCCTTCAGAGAGGGGGACTGACATGAAAGCACAAGGGCAGCACTTACCATGCAAATGGCCCTTCAGCGGAAGCCTGTTATCAGGAGCATCTAATGAGGCTTTGCAGGGCCAACAATGGAGGCAAGGCAAGGCTTTTGGTTCCCAGGCAGTGGCCTGTAGTTGGCACAGCCCTGGTGCTGGGCACAGCTCCTGCTCCCTCCAGCTAAGGGCTCGGACATGCTGGCATTCCTTGGTGCCCTGAGAACCAGCAGCCTTGTCCAGCATAGCCAGCCACATCCTGGGAACAGTTTCCTCTGGAACCATCAGACCTTCTGGAGCAGAAAAAAGGGGGAGAGGGGTCTGGAAGCACAGAGCCTGGGGCACCCCCAGGTGATGAGAAATGCTCTATACCTGTGCTGTCCTCCTCATCCAGCCTGTAGTGCTCCCTCCTGCCTCTTCCTACCCCTAGGTCTCCCATTGCAGGCAAGATGGGACTGGCCAAGGTCAAGGTCTCACCCAGATGGTGCTAGGAGTTCAGATCCAGCTCCCTGTAGAGTTATTGACTGGGAACCAGGCTGATGAATGCTCTTCCCTCCTTCCCCTGCTCCTGGGTCCTCTGGAGAGTTTGGAATTCTGAATGTAACCATGTTTCCACCAGACTGAGCTCCTTGAGGGCAGGACTATGTCCCCAGCACCTAGCAAAAGTTTGGCACATAGTAGGTGCTCAATAATGACAAATACTTACATGAAACTTACTTCATGCCAGGCACCATTCTAAGAGCTTTACAAATATCCACTCATTTAATCCTTACAATAACCTTGTGAGGCAGGTACTGTTTTATCTGCATTTTCCAGATGAGTCACGGAGAGGTGAAGTACCTTACCCAAGCAGCACAGCTAGTAAGAGGTGGAGGCAGGATAAGAACCCAGGCAGTCTGGCTCCTGTCATGCTCTGTTCCTGAGGCAATGCGGATTGTTGAATGGAATGCACCCAGGGGATGAGTCTCCACTCATCGGGGTCCAGAGGCCAGAACAGCCTTGAAAACAGGTCCATGGGTGGCCCCCACACTCCAGCAGGAGTGAGCTCCATTTCTTCTGAGGGGTGCTTCCTCCAAGGTCACCTCAAGTGGGGCAGCTTTTTCAGAAACTGTGGATGGGGTCAGTGCCAGAGAGGGTGAAAGGAGGCAGGATTAGGAATGGTCAGGAATGGCCAGAAGCAATCAGGGTGGGGAACTCATGAAATGAAGACGTGAGGGGCACCCTTGGCTTTCTCACTCCTGGACAGAGTACCTGGGCCAGGGGATATTCTGAGATAAAACAAGAGGCATCTTATTGTGTGAAGAGGTAGGGCCTTTCAGTCTTATTATCAACCTGACGTCTAAGCACCATAGGGTGAGGGTGCAGAGAGCAGAGGGCATGGCCTGGGGTAAGGATTGGAGGAGACTAGAGCTGGTCACGTTCTAAAACTGGTTGCCTTCTTAATGGAGAATGAAGCTGGAAGTCAGCCTGGGAATGGGACCACTGGACCAAAGTAGGTGCAACCCAATAAGGGGTGGGGAGGGGTTCCAAGATGGCTCAAGAGCACTTGAGTCAGGCGTAGCCTGAAGGAGCTCTTGTCTTTAGATCAGAAGAACAATTAGCAAGTTTGCAAATGATCCCTCTTCTGCTCTTTGGATCAGAAACTGGTTACCTATTTGGCTGAGAGCATTGGACCTGACCACAGGGCAGTGTCTTCATTTAGGGGTTTTAACCCCCAAATTTTATCTGGAATCCTAAGACCACCAAAACTCACTTGATCTTCTCTGGTTGTACATCTTACCCTCATGGGCTCAGCTAGCTGGAGGGTCATCCAGATTGACAGCGAGAGGCTGATGGGTAAGGTTCTCAGGCCTGGGAGCCAGAGAGCGTGGCTTCCTTGAGGGGAGGAAATAACATTCACTGGGCCTGGAATGGGCTGGAACCTGAGACACTCAGAATTCTGGGGTCCAGGAGGAAACCTTCCCCAGCAGATGCCATGGGGTGGACAGGCATGGAGAATCCCCCAGCACTGTTTAAGGAAGTAGGTTGAACCATGTTCTACATTTGATGTCATGGTGCTATGTCTTCAAAGGAAACGAGATCCCCAACTCTATCTTGTTGTTGCTGATGGGTGCCGGCCAGTCGCTTCCAACTCATAGCGACCCATGTGACAGAGTAGAACTGCCCTGTAGGGTTTTCTTGGCTGTGTTCTTTACGGGAGCTGATCACCAGGTCTTTCCTCCTAAGGAGCCACTGCATGGGCTCCAACTTCCAACCTTTCGTTAGCTGTCAAGCACTTAACCATTGCACCACCACAATGCAGAAAAAAATCCAAGGGAAACAAGGTCTTAGAAGGTCTTCTAGTCTGTCCTCCCAGACCATGCCAGCCAGCCTCCTTTGAGAGCTGCCCTGGGCAGACCAGGACCCAGTGTGGCCTGAGGGCCCTATGCGGTTGGCTGCCTTTCCCGACCATTAATCGCTACTAAGTGTCATTACCGCTAATAAAATTAACCGACTTTATACTGGACTCCTGGAGCCATCAATCACAGGGTCTATTACATGAAATTAAAAACACAGGTGCCTGTTGATGGATTAAAGGGTGTTTACTGAGTCCAACTCTCCATGCAGCCTGGGAATTCTGGTGCTCTGCACCAACAACAGGCTGTGATCAAGACTACACCCTTTGATAAACCAACCACCATCCTTTATCCTGTAGGGATGTCTCAGGCAAGAACACAACTGGGCTTCAGGACGACTCAGGGACCAGGGCCTGAAAAGCTCCCCACATTCTCTTTCCCACTCTCACCTCTGCTTCTCTTTTTGCATTTGTTTCATTCTTTTTGTTTCTCTTTGGACCAGCTTCTTCTGTTTATCCTCTATGTTACAAGCTCTGCCACCCAGAGATATAAACTATTTTCATTTCATTCAAATTCCATGTTCCCAAAGAAAGAACCAATTGGCTCAGCTAGGGTCATATGAGTGTTATTGGTCCAATCATCAGGCCAAAGCAGCAAGGTCATGTGGTATCTATATATCAACCCTATAGATAAAAGGGTGGAGTGGGCAACCAACATAATAGTATCCATAACAGCAATGTAAAGGACTTGGTAGTGAGTACTCAAAAAGTGGTAGCTATAACAATATTGTTGTAAGCTGCTGCCATCATACACAATGGAGCAAAGCACTGTTTGGGCCCATGCCAACCCTATGATGGGTTGTGTATTGGACCATTGTGCTCCATGGTTTTCACTGGCCAATTTTTAGAAGCAGATTGCCAGGCCTTTTTGCCCTGTCCATCTTAATCTGGAAGCTCCATGGAAGTCTGTTCAGCATCATGGAAACACACAAGCCTCCAGTGATAGATGGCTGCACATGAGGTGCTCCTGGCCAGTAACGGAATCTGAGTCACATGTGGCTAGTAGGTTTGAACCAGAAGCCTTCTGGTTAGCAGTCAAATGCCTTAGGCACTACGCCACCAGAGCTCCCATATTATATAATACAATGTATACTATAGCTAGGTGGTTGTTGTGTGCCGTCAAGTTGATTCTGACTCATAGCAACTCTATATGACAGAATAGAACTGCCTCATAGAGTTTATTAGGTTATAATCTTAATGGAGACAGACCCCTAGGTCTTTTCTCCCACAGAACAGCAGTAGTTGTTGCTATTAAAATGGCATTTGAGACAGACCTTGAAGGATGTGCAACCCTACTGGCCAAATCTCCATCACCTCCTGCTTGTTCTCCTATCTGTCAATCAACTGCTACAAGAGAAGTTCCTGCAACACAGGAGCCGTGTGAGCAGAAATTGCCCCTGGACCAGAGAGGGGCCTTGGAAGGGGCTAGATAGCTGCTTCCTCCTTTGTTTGCTCCCTGCTGCCCCAAGCTGCCCTCCATACTGGAAACCTGTCCACATAGGGCCTCCTCAGCTCAAGTTGACATTGAGTTCTGCTCAAGACCTGCCAAGGGTCAAGCTATAAGGGTTTCCTGCCAGGCTATAGGGAGGGGCTTAGGTGTCGACCTGGTGGACTGGAAATTTACTCATTTGCCCCCAGATTAATGATTAACGGGCCCCTGCCCTCACCCTGTCTGGGAGAGGAGCCCAGGGCCAAGCTGGGCCAGGAGGAGCCCGATAGCATCTGTCTCTGCTCAGAGGTTTCGGAGATATGCTCCACACTGGGTTGGCTGCACCTGATAGATTTGGACTCTGGGGGCACTTTCTGGGGGCATCTGGGGCTTAGCCAGGGCCCACTCCCTCTGATGAGGCTTCCTGCTCTGGCAGACAGAGAGGGGGTGGTGTCTAGCCAGATGGCCTGGCTGAGACAGGTGGTTCCAAACAAGAGAGCCATGCCTTTGGCTCAGTGGGACATGGACTTCTCTGACAATTCAGGGCTTGGCCTCTGGGTTGGTAGAGCAGGAGAAGCATCCACACAGAAGCTCTAAGTCACTGCTGGTCCCACCATTGGTCTCTTCCCCTGGCCAAGAGGCTGACATGCCCCAGAAGGGGACTGCTCCCTCCAGCCAGGGTTCCAGAGTGATGGATACTCCACCCACACTGAGGGGCACCAGAACAGGGCCCTGAGGAGTGGGGCAGCAAACACTCTGAACTAGTGGAACCATCTCACAGAGGGTTTCTGGGAAGAGGGAAACCAAACTAAACAAACAAACAAACAAAAACCACACTCACTGCTGTCAAGTCGATTCTGACTCATAGTGACCCCTCCTTGGGTTTCCAAGATGATAGCTCTGCAGAAGTAGATTACCCAGTCTTCCTTCTGAGGAGTGGCTGATGGGTTTGAACCACCAGCCTTCTGGTTAGCAGTCAAATGCCTTAGGCATTACACTACCAGTGAGCTCTAACTCTCATGCCCGCCTTAGTGCTAATGTATTGTTTGACTTAGGCCAGTCACTGCCTCCTCCTAAAACCTTTGTTTCCTCATCTGGACAAAAGAGGAGACTGTCAAGATTAAGGAGTAAAACATCTTGCAAGAGAAAAGAATTTTGAGAAACTCCAGCTAGCATGGAGGTGAACTTAAATGTCTCGGGCACTGTGTGGTTAGTACTTTTCATAGGATCCTCCTAGCAACCCTAGGAAAAGATGGGATCACTCTTTCCACTCTATGAAGGAGAAAGCCAAGCCTTCAAGTTTGCACGGTTAAGTGGCAGAATCAGGCTTACAATTTGAGTAGCCTGACTCCAGAACCCACGGACTTTGGATAGAACAACAAGAAGTCATGATAAATGGAGAAAACATTGAAGTTGTCAAAGACTTCACATTACTTGGTTCTACAATCAACACCAATGGAAGCAGCAGCCAAGACATCAGACAGACAACCTATTGCACTGAGCAAATTTGCTGCAAAAGACCTCTTTAAAGTACTGAAAAGCAAAGATGTCTCTTTGAAGACTAAGGTGTGCCTAACCCAAGCCATGGTATTTTCAATCTCCTCATATGCATGTGAGAGCTGGACAGTGAATAAGGAAGACCAAAGAAGAGTTGATGCTTTTGAGCTGTGGTGTTGGTGAAGAATGCTGAAAGTACAGTGGACTGCTAAAAGAACTAACAAATCTGTCCTGGAAGAAGTGCAGCCAGAATGCTCCTTGGAAGTGAGAATGGCCATACTGCGTCCTTCCTACTTTGGTTACGTTGTCAGAAGGCACCATTCCCTGGAGAAGGATATCATGCTTGGTAAAGTGAGGGTCCATGAAGAAGGGGAAGGCCCTCAACAAGATGGATTGACACAGTGGCTGCAACAATGGGCTCAGGTATAGCAAGAATCATGAGGCCAACACAGGACTGGGCAGTGTTTCATTCTTTTGTATATAAGGTCTCTATGAGTCGGGGATGACTCAATGGCACCTAAAAACAACAACAACAAGAAGTCTGGGGCTCATGGTTTGCTGTAAATGTAGCTCCTTCACCTTCATCCAACCACTCTTCCTTCCATCCATCCATCTATTCCATCCATCCAGGTATTCCCCAGGCAGCTCCTTTGTACCTGGCACCAAGTGGCTGGATGGTTGGAGATCCATCTAGGAAATATGGAAACAAGGTTAGTGGGATGACTTGGGTGGCAACATAATGTAAGGGAAAGAGAAGTGTAGAGAGATCTCAGAGACCTCAACTGGGTGCCTGCTCCGCATCTACATCCTCTTTGCCTGCGCTCCCAGGAATGGGGTGTGCCCTCTAGGCAGCACGTGCACTATTTCTGAAATTTCCCCGATCATAGAAGCCACCCAGAGCTCTTGATGAATATGCAGGTTCCAAGGTCCCACCCCAGACCAGTGGAATCAAAATTACTCTATGTGGATCCTAGGAATCTGTATTTTTAATAAGCATCCCAGATGATTCTGCTTATTGGCAAGTTTAGGAAATAGAGTGGGTAGGAAGAGCAGAGACTTTGAAATCTGGAAAACTTGGGTTGGAAGTTCTGCATTAGCCCTTGTTACAAGCATCTTGCTTTCATACTCTGTAAGATCCCTGTGGATGGGGTCTGATGGAACCAGCTTGTTGACCAGAAGGCAATAAATAAAGCCCTGAGAAGACCCTGTTCCCTAAATCTGCTGCAGGTCCTCAGGGATTCTCATCCCTCCTCCTTCCCACGACAACCGCCATGCTCATTCGCATCCCCTTCTCTCACCCTCTCCAGCCTGACTGGGCGCGAGGTTCTGACGCCCTTCCCAGGGTTGGGCACTGCGGCGGCGCCTGCACAGGGTGGAGCCCACCTGAAACAGTGTGACCTACTGAAGCTTTCCCGGCGACAGAAGCAGATGTGCCGGCGAGAGCCAGGCCTGGCTGAGACCCTGCGGGATGCCGCGCACCTGGGCCTGCTCGAGTGCCAATTCCAGTTCCGGCATGAGCGCTGGAATTGCAGCCTGGAGGGGAGGAGCGGCCTGCTCAAGAGAGGTAGGGCAAGGTTCACAGGGAGGTTCCCCTTACCCACCCCTCTGGCCCCCAGGCCCGGGCCCCCTTGTCCTTCCCCACTCAGCGCAGTCCTCAGAGGTGGCTTGGTCCAACTTGCTCACACCCCCCTTGGAGTTGAGATAACTGGTTTAGCCCCAGCTGTGCCCCCGCCTGGTGCCTAAATCACTTCTCTTTCCATCTGAACATCCTTCCTTACGTGTAGAGCTGACCTGCCACCCTCTGGGAGGCTGGGCACACACACGGTAGGAATCTAAAAGGCCATTTCAAGTCTCACTTGTAATGCCAAGTCTCAATGTTAATGTTAATTTTCAATTTTTGGGAAATTTAATTTCCAATGTCAATTTTAAAAATTTTTTAAAATTTGATTCGATCTGTTGCTGTTGAAAATATACACAGCAGAGCATACACTGATTCCACAATTTCTCCGCGTGTAATTCAGTGTCACTGATTCCGTTCTTCAAGTTGTGTGACCCTGCTTGCCTTCCTTTTCCAAATCATTCCTCCCTCATTAACACACACTCACTGCTCCTTAAGTTTCCTATCTGACCTTTCAAGTTGTGGTAGTTAATTTGATCCCATATAACTAATTCTTCACAATTTTGGTTTTGCGATTTTCAACTTTAAGGAGTGGGTGAGAGGGAGGTGCCCCCAGATCTCTGTCCCTGGACTCACTACAGTGTCTGCTCCTTGGCTGGGGGCTGCCTCTGTCCTCTGAGCCTAATCCCTTCCACCCTCCCCACCCCCGGTGCCTGCACAGGTTTCAAGGAGACGGCCTTCCTGTACGCGGTGTCCTCAGCCGCCCTCACCCATGCTCTAGCCCGGGCCTGCAGTGCCGGGCGTATGGAGCGTTGCACCTGTGATGACTCCCCGGGCCTGGAGAGCCGGCAGGCCTGGCAGTGGGGCGTGTGTGGTGACAACCTCAAGTACAGCACCAAGTTCCTGAGCAACTTCCTGGGGCCCAAGCGAGGAAGCAAGGACCTGCGGGCACGGGCAGATGCCCACAACACCCATGTGGGCATCAAGGTGAGTGTGATCCAGTCATGGGCTGCCCGTAGCACCTTACCTAGCCAGGGTGCTGAGCAGGGAGCAGGGCCTGTAGGAGGCAGCAGCTCCTTACACACACATCCACACGGAGTCCTCTCAGCACGAACATCGTTTCTTCAACAAACATCCCCTGGCATTTATTCTGAACCAATACCAAGAGCCAAGAAGGGATCTGAGCATCATTGGTGGCTGAGCAGCAGGTGGGAGCCAGGCTGGTGAGGTGGGAGTATGTGTGGAGAGGACTGGGTCTTCCTGGAAGTTCTAGAAGCCAGCATGGTTTGAAAACTTGGATCTAGTACAACCTCCACCCTCCTTCCATTTTATGGCTGGGAAGATGGAGGAGGCCTAGAGAAGGGAAAGGTCTTGGCTGAAGTCACACACACGGTAGGAATCTGAAAGCCCATTTCAAGTCTCACTTGTAATGAAAAGTATCAATATTAACGTTAATGCATTCTACATTCTGCGTCCTCATGTCTGAGTTGGACCAGGGCTGCTGTGTTCAGCTGTGCAAATTGTAGACTCCCCAGGAACTCTGGGCCAAGGGGTGGAATGTGGGCTGAGATCCGTCCACATCCCTCTCACCAAGACATGATGTTGGCACAGGGCTGCCACTGCCCAGGCATTGTTTTGTTGGCTGCTGTTGAGTCCATTTTCGACTTATAGAGACAACATATGAAGGCGTAGGGTTTTCTGGAGTAGAGCAGGGTTTTTTTTCCCATAGAGCGGGCTCCAGGCCCTCAGACTGTAGCCCCCAGGCCTCTGACCTCCCCTCCCCTCTGCCTCTGCCTCTGCCCCTGCAGGCTGTGAAGAGTGGCCTCAGGACCACGTGTAAGTGCCATGGCGTGTCAGGCTCCTGTGCTGTGCGCACCTGCTGGAAGCAGCTCTCCCCATTCCGTGAGACGGGCCAGGTGCTGAAGCTGCGCTACGACTCTGCAGTCAAGGTGGCCAGTGCCACCAATGAGGCCCTGGGCCGCCTGGAGCTTTGGGCACCCACCCGGCCGGGCAGCCCCACCAAGGGCCTGGTGCCTCGGTCTGGGGACCTGGTCTACATGGAGGACTCACCCAGCTTCTGCCGGCCCAGCAAGTACTCGCCAGGCACAGCAGGCAGAGTGTGCTCTCGGGAGGCCAGCTGCAGCAGTCTGTGCTGTGGGCGTGGCTATGACACCCAGAGCCGCCTGGTTGCCTTCTCCTGCCATTGCCAGGTGCAGTGGTGCTGCTACGTGGAATGCCAACAGTGCGTGCAGGAGGAGCTCGTATATACCTGCAAGCACTAGGCCTGCAGCCCAGTGTGCCATCCAGGCCCTACCAGGGCCTGCCAGAAAACCCATCCTCCTGTGAGGCCACCCAGCTATCCAGCCAACCCCTCTGGGCAGTTACACGCAGTGTGCATACATGCACAGACCAATGTCCATGCCAGTGCACATGTGTGTGCAGCTCACCTCTTCTCCCTCTGCTGCCCCATGGCCAAACTTTTCTTTCTCTTAACACCCAGCAAAGAGAAATGCAGGCCCCACCTCTAAACCCCAGGGTCTCCAGCCTTGTTGAAAACTTGAAGTGAGAGAGCAGAGTGGGAACCTATGTGGAAAGAAACAAGGGAGACCAAGACTGAGGTCTTGGAAGGAAGAGACGGAACATCTGTCATTCTGATTCTTCAAATGGATAGTCTGTAGCCAGCAGAACGCTGGGAGGTGAGCTTCTCTGGTCCAGGAACACAAAGACAGGTGGAGTCTGGCCAGGCTGGGACAGCCCAGCCCTTGGGCACTGCTTTGATCACAGTGAGCCCACTGGAGTTACACTCCTTCATTCTCCTGGGGCTTTGCTGAGCTAGAGATGGGAAGAAAGGCCAGGTGGTAGGAGGTGCTTGTTTGGAGAGAAGAAGCTTTTCTGGGCCTGAGTGGACTCAAGTCAAGTATGTGTCCTGGAGCCCTGTGTCCTCAATTTGGCTTAAAAAATACCTGCGCTGTATGTAGCTACACCACCCAGGCCCTGCTCTGTAACAGCACTAATGGAGGAAGACAGGTGGGGAGAGCCAATCCCCAAGGTGGGATTCAGCCCAGGCACCTGTGGTTGCACAGAGACTGTGACTCCTCTTCCTTATCTCCAGTGGCCGGAGTAACCTTTGATGGCAGCCCTGAAGAAGGTGATTCAGCCCCCTGGTGCCAGGCAGGGTCATGGCAAACTTGACCTCTCACCCTCCTGGTGAGCCTGCCTGGGTGGTGAGCCCCAACACCGGCTGATATTCGTGACACAGAACAGTTGCTTCATGAGCTGCGATCCTGCTTACATATCTACCCTTATGGCTGTGTAGTTAAGCCTTTTGCCCTAGCTAGAGTCTTTGCTAAGCCTAGCTCCTTAGTGGCCCCTTCATTGATGGTGGTGAGGAATGGACGTGACTTTGCTCATTTCCTCTGATCCTGTGGACATTTCCAGTGCCTCCTCCCAGGGCTCTTGTGTGGGAGGAGGAGTGAGAAACGGGCACCTATAGGTGTGCCCACCCTTACTCACACATACATACATGCACACACACGTGTGCTGCTTGGGCCTTGCCAGGCTGAGGTGCCCACCCAGCACAACATCTCTGTTCAGGTCGAAGATCTTAAGGGGTCATTTTGCTGGAGGATACGTGCTTCACCAGAGCAGGGCCCAGTGCCAGCCAGGAGGAAGTGACTTCCTTCCAGAAGCCCTTGGCCGCTGCACTGGCCCTGCCGCACCCCGCTGTCAGCTTCCTTTCTCCCTGAACCCAGAGTTGCTGACCCCCCACTGAAACAGGAAACTTCAGAATCAGCTGAATGCTGGGGCCCCGGCAAACTCCCTGGGACCTCCAAGAGCAAGGAGAACCTGTGGGTGCTGGAAGGATCTTTGGTTGCAGAGGCTCTGATGAGAAGCCAGACTGACTCTGAGACCCCTTCCCTAGACTGACTTTGCTGACCCAAGCAGCTGGCCCACAGCTGAGCAGGAGGAGAAGAAAGGGGTCAGGGGCAGGTTTTCCAGTGTCTTGCACTCCCCCGTCCTCTGGAGATCACTACCATCTTGGGCCCGTCTTGCTCTCGGAGACCCCATTCTGCATCTACCCTGGCTCAGCTCTGGACACAAGATGCCAGGGGCATCCCTGGCCTGGAGGTGATTGGAGAACAGCATGCCCTGATCTGCCAGTATCCCATCTGCATCCCAACTCCACACATGCGAAGGACGAACGGCAGACTCTGAGGGCCAAAGCTAACACTGAAGACCTAGCCTGTGGCACAGGTGTGGGCATCAAGGACCCTTTGAGCTTGTGGGATCCTCTCTGTGTAACCTTTTCCATCCTTATTTCCAACCCTCTGCCTCTTCCAGTTATCCCTAAAGGTCCACCTCAGTCCCTTGGGGCCAGAGTGACCACTGACCCCTCCTCATTCCACAGCTGTAAGGGAAACACTCACAGGGTATTTTTGTCTACCTCACATATCTAGTTTTTAGAGCAAAAAAGAATAATTTATATAGCTAAGATATATGAGAAAATATTTATGTTATTTATATAGTTTCTTTATTCCGTGGACAGCACAGGTAGGGTTTGTGGGTTCTGCCAGAGGCTGACTGTATGGGGAGGTCTGACCAGCCCCCACTGAGCTGGATGCCAGGTGGTTGGGGAGGAGTCACGTGGGTTCCTGAGTCCCGAGACTGAGCCAATGAGCACCACCCTCTCCGTATGTGAGCTCTGATAGTCGTGATTTGGATTCTCCTTGCAAAGTCTTTGTAAATTCTCTGCTCTTCCATGTGCCTGGCCCCTTCTCCTGCTCTGACAAAACTGTTTTGCTCATCATAATGACCCCAAGGATGACCACACCTTGCATTGGTAAAGCACTTTGCTTTCAAGAAATAACTTTATCTCTTTAATCTCATTTGATTTCCTCAATACCCCTGTGAGGTACATGGGGTCACACTTTGCACCCATTTTACAGACAAGGCCCAGAAAGTGGAGGGCTGTGCTCAAAGTCACAATGAAGATGTTTGTTCAATGAAAATTGACCATCTATGCATGCCAGGCACTTGGCAGCCTCATCCAGGCCCTTAGGGCCTAGATGTATCCTGGATCCCACCTCCCAGTGTGGCTCTGACTTGCCCTAAGCCCAGTAATCCCCAAACCTGGATGCCGCCCTGAGCCCAAGATCCCAGAGAGTGGCTGCTTCCCTGGCCATGGGTGACTCTGGCCTTTTGGATCTGGGCAGCATGTCCCCCTTTTTCTCCATGAGGAGGCCCATGTCTCAGGGCTAGGGCTGCTGGAGAGGCCTTGAAAGTCAAACACCCCGGGGAGGCCACCCAGGGGCTTTGCCATCAGGGTCTCACGCCTGCCCACACTGCTGAGAGGGGTCTTCTGGGAGGTAGCTGGGCTTTGCTGGCTCTCATTATGTGCGTGTTTTTTATTTTTATTTATTTTTAAGGAGTTACCTTCCACTGGAGTTCTGGCTTTTCTTGTAAACTCAGCTGTTCCGGCAAACTGGCTTTGCATTTCCACCTGACTTCAGTCAGCTTGAGGGAGGGCATCCTTTCAGACAGGATGGTGAGAGCTGCCCAGTCTGCTGAGTGCCTGCCAGCCCACCCACCCAACTCACAGGTTCACCTGCTTGCCTCTCGTAGGCATGTCTGTCTATCCCTGTGTCTGGATGAGCCCAGCTTCCCTGGTGTCCTCCATTGACTGGCAGACAGAAAGACAGACAAACGCCAACCTTTAAGATTATTTCTTGCTTTCCAAAACTTCCTTTCTCAACAACTATAAATTCTAAAATGCTTTTTTGTCTCAGCAAGTTTTAGATGCAGTGGGAACCATCATTTACTGTGCACTTGTTGGGTCTATTCATTCAATCTACACAAATTTAGGGAGCCTCTCCTAGGTGCCAGGCAGCACCCTGGCTTCTAGGTTACAGCAGTGAGCATGACCAAGCTCCTGCCCATGGGGGGCTGCCATTCTATTGGGGAAGAAAGAGACAATAAACCAATAAATTACACGTCAGCTATTTGTACCAAATTTGTCTCTCTTTATCGCAATAACCCTGCACGTTGGACACACCCACCCCCATTTGATAGTTAAGGACATGGAGGGGGTGAGATGGGAAGGTTCATGATTACCACCAGCAAACAGTGGTGCCAGGATTTGAGCATTGATCTGCCAACATCTGAAGCTTGAGCTCTTTCCTCTCTGCATTGCTGCCTCCCCTCAGGTGGAGGGAGGACAGGGGTAGATTTTCCCATATTCTGGGTTCTGGGTAAACTGAGGCCTACGGAAGGGAAGTGATCCACTCAAGGCCACACCAGGTCAGTGGCAGCAGAGCAGACCCGAGCCTAGGTCTTGAGAGTTGATCGATAGTTCTAGACCCCTCACGCTGTGGCCAGCAATGTGGTGAGTGGGGGCAGGAGAAGGCAAAGGGAAGCCTTCAAAAACTCATGGTCCAATAAGAGAAACAACAGGTGTCATCCTCAGAATCTCTCCCCTAGCCCCACTGCCTTCCAAGCATGCTTAGGGGAAGTGCAAGTCCTCAGCAAGCTGCTATAGTAACTAAGAGGAGGCTCCTTTCTGAGCAAAGGGCAGCACCAGAGTGTTTGGGGTCTCCCTATGGTCCCCAGGGAGGGAAGCCCCACCTCCCTTTTATTTCCCACCTTTCACTTCACTCCACCTCTCACCTGGGGTTCCTTCATGTAACTGCTCATCCAGCAAACACTGACTGGTCACCTTTAGAGTGCCAGACACATGACAAGGTGCCATGGTGACAAGATCCAGTCACCTGCATTTTTACCTGCATCCCCATCCTAAGGTGTTCCTTCTGCTTGGGGCTCCTGGGCCTAGAGTCCAGATAGTTCTAAGCAATGACAGATCCTTAGTGAATAAGCCACACAGCAGTAGGCTCCAGGTTACCCAGGGCTTTCTTAGCTGTGTTCTCACTTGACTTCACCTTGTGAGGACCTCACAAGGTGGACCTCATTGTTCCCTTTTTATAGGTAGGGAAGCTGAGGTGCAGCGTGGTTGAGTGAACCGCTGAAGGCCACATAACTAATAAGCAGATTCAGGATTTCTGCCTCCAAACCCTATGCTCATGTGCCTTCAGACTTCTCCCACCCCCATCTAAGCCTTTTCCAGCTTCTTCCCATAAACCAGTTCCCATACAGGCCCTCAGGCTTCTCCACCTTTAGGTGCTTGACATCCACCACTCTTCCTGGGGGATCAGGGCTTGTTGAGACAATCACTAAGTGGGTACTTACCTATGGTATTCCCTCCTTCCCCCTTTAAAAACATTTAGACACA